AGGAGTTCAGGTCAAGCCAGGCAACACAGTGGAACCCTGTCTCTAAAACATAATAAAAATAAAAATGGACTTTGAGTTAACAATCCTCATACTGATTCTCAATCGGCATGTGTAGACAGCATCATATAAGTCACAGCTTTTCTCTAGCACTTTAAACACATCATTTTCTTGTTAAGGTAAATAAATGATCTAGTCCCTCGGACGCAGTAAGGGATGCTGGAAACCCACTGTGTTGTGAGGCAACTCGGCACAGTGGGGGACATGGAATTTGCAGAGCCCGTCCATAACCCAGCACCCCTGATCTCCACGTGACCTTGAGCATGTCATTAAACTCTCTGACCCTCACACTGTCTGCGTGTGAGATGGGGACAACAGCATGCCCCAGCCCGCCTGCTGTGAGCACTCCGTGAAAGAATTTACCGAAAACACAGAACCGTGACTGGCACGTACTGAATGCTCATTCAAAATTTAAAAAAAACAAACACCAAGAGACCTGAGCTCCATTTCTGGCAGCCACAACCAGTGCACAAGTCACGCACGGGGACTGGGCAGAGGTGACACGCCACCTGTATGGTGAGGCTCACACAGCCCCCATGGACCGGGCAACCAAAGCCTGTCCTTCCCGCCCCCCACACCACCCTGCCTCTGGAGACAGCCTGTGGGAGGCCTCCGGTGACTGGTTCAAATGGCCCCAGACTCCACTACCCTGGCTGAGGGCACCAGGTGTCACTTCTTGTTCTTCAGAGGCACAGAAACCAAGGAAGCCAAGCTCCCTCTCCCCACGGATGTGAGAGGCTATGTGCATAAGAGGAGCCACCTGGGTCCCTCAGGGCCACTTCAGCCATGGAGCAGCCCATCCTGAGGTCTTCTGTGACCTCCCTGTGTGTTTCAGCCAGACTGAGTTGAGTTTTCCATCATTAGTAGCTAAGATATACTAACTGACATACTCTACAAATGTAAAAATCTTTACCAGAGGCTTAAAAACCGAGAGATTTTGAAGAACAATTGCCCTCTCTGACCACTCAGAAACTCCAACAAACCCAAATCATTACTTTACTCAACAAAGTAGATCCAAAAATAAGATTATAAGAGGATGTGTGTCACATCACAAAAAATTGTGCTGATTACCCCTTATGATACAAAGTAGCAATCAATGCACAAAAACCAGTATAGCCTAGAGCGTCTCAAACTTGATTGCATCAGAGGTACCTAGAGAGTTCTGCAATTTCAGAAACTGAGGACTGACTTTGACTCCAGGGAGGCTACTATACAACAGTCTTGGGCGAAACAGGTACCCTCACTTGGAGGATGAAGGAAGGCTCCATAATCTTTCACAAATCCCAGGAAAGACAATCTGGGTTCAGAGAAGGGAGTTCAACCAGGCAGCGCGAGATGTATGCTTGAACCTAGGTCAAAAAAACGATGAAAATACAAGCCATGCTTCAAAAGACTCCTCTGTCCCAGAAAATTCTCTGTCAATTCACAAACAACAACAATCAGAATCCAGGAGGCTCAAGGTTACCCCAAGGGTGGGAGAAGGAAAGCCTCTTTCCAGATAGCTCCAGGTAGAGTCTGACCCAAACTTTTGGCCTCCTGCTTGTGAGTAACCAAATCTCTTGGCCTTGAGTCTGAATTCCTAATCTGCACTTGAAGCCAAGAACTAAGCTAAACTCAAACCTAGACTACAGTTACAGCAATTGCCGCTCAACTACTTACAGAATAATCAAAAAAATGGAACAGCAAAGTGGCCACAGCACTGGATATGCCTTCCAGGATGGAGGGCGCTATTAGATGCAGCCAGGAAGCCACACCTCATTCCAGTTCAGGTGTCAGGCCAAGAAACTGCTCCTGTTTTTGCTTCCTGCTTCCAAATCTGTCTTCTACCAGAAAAGTGGAAAGCTATCTAGCAGCTACCTGCTCGAGGCAAGATCCAAAGGTAGGCTAGGCACAGTAGCTCATGCCTATAATCCCACCACTTTGGGAGGCCAAGGCAGGTGGATCATTTGAGGTCAAGAATTGGAGACCAGCCTGGCCAACATGGTGAAACTCCGTCTCTACTAAAAACACAAAAATTAGCTGGGTGTGGTGGTGGCTGCCTGTAATCCCAGCTACTCAGGAGGCTGAGGCAGAAGAATCACTTGAACTCGGGAAGCAGAGGTTTCAGTGAGGCAAGATCATGCCACTGCAGTCCAACGTGGGTGACAGAACAATACTCCATGTCTCTCTCTCTCTCTCTCTCTCTCACACACACACACACACACACACACACACACAAGATCCACAGGTAAATGTCCACTGTGGAAGGAATGTGTTCACAGGGCCTCGGTCACATGCCGTAAGTCTCAAATGCCACACGTGCCATCTTACAAAAATGTTAAAAAGATTGGGAGACTAAGACATGTGGATCACGAGGTCAAGAGATCGAGATCATCCTGACCAACGTGGTGAAACCCATCAAAAAGTGGGCAAAGGGGGCCGGGCGCGGTGGCTCACGCCTGTAATCCCAGCACTTTGGGAGGCCGAGGTGGGTGGATCACGAAGTCAAGAGATCGAGACCATCCTGGTCAACATGGTGAAACCCCGTCTCTACTAAAAATACAAAAAATAAAAAACATTAGCTGGGCATGGTGGCACGTGCCTGTAATCCCAGCTACTCAGGAGGCTGAGGCAGGAGAATTGCCTGAACCCAGG